CAGTTGGGACAGAAAGGTGATACAGTGGAGGAGTTTGGGATGGTACAACACTACTTATAGCCTATAGCCTCTAGCCTATGTCATGATCTTTGAAACATTGAGTTATATGTTTTGCAAGGCCCAACGTGTCACATACATCGAGCAGCGCAACTTGTGCCCAACGATGCGATTCAGATCAGATGGGAATCAATTAGGTCCTCGCACGACCATCACTGTCAACACAGCCAAGAGGTCATCACTGGAGGAGCCAGAAGTCTTTTGGGTTGAGCTTGATCAGTTCAAGAAAGACAATCCTGGACGAGTGGTGAAACCAGAGGAGATTGTCGTTGAATGGGTGCGAGGAAAATATACAGAAGGAATCAATGTCCAGACCGGTCGAGCTGGTTACCATCGTCGAGTCACAGCGCAAGACAAAATTGTGAACCGCGAAGCTGAAATGTACACAAGTGATTTGGAAGTATCTGAAACAGCTGCCAATTCATTTTTTCAGCAAGCGGTGAAGAAGACAATGCCATCTGTGAAGGCGTTGGACATTGCAGAGCTCCCATGCAACCGCCTTTTTTCAATGATGTTGTCGGGGTCATCAGGCATCTCAGCCACTGCTTCATCATCGGACGCCTTGCCTTTGCCTATGCCACCATCGTGTGAGCCAGAGCCTTTGTGTGATGGAATGCCTGGAAGTGGGCCAGCACAACCTGATGATGAGGACGATGCTGCTGCGACGGCTGGCAAGGGGTTTCAAGATGCCTTAGCATTTGCTCTTCCAGCTGCCAAAGCTAAGGCAATTGCCACAGCGGCTGCCAAGGCTGCCGCTGCAAAGGTGAAGTCTGAGAACATCAAAGAGAAAGGCAAAAACCAACGAAAGAAGAGGAAAGAGAGCGAGGTGGTTGTAGAGAAGTTGGATCAAGAACCATCTTCAAAGACACGCAGGCTCAACAATGATCAAGATGAAGCTTTGATGAAGGAGTTTACCGGAAAGCTTGATGTCATCAAAACCTCAAGTCTGAGTGAGATGGGGAACTCAGATGCATCGGTTCAGGACGCTATCAAGAAGGCATTGAAGGACATCACTGGCTTCAACCAGTCAGTAAAGACCAAGCTCAAGTCACTGAAGAGAAGAAAAGATCATCCTGAGACGCTTTCAAAAGCATTGGATGAGCTGACCACAGAGGCAACCTCAATGCACAAAGCTTTGACTGGCATCTTGAGCTATCACAGCGATGATCTTGCGCATGTGCAGATTCTGCTTCAGCATCGGGAGTCAGGGTGGACCTTTGCTAGTGCTCTTTTGAAACGAGCCTTCAAGTCTGCAATGCTGTGCCAGCTTAAGTTTGAAGATTGGGAGTCAATGACCTCCGAGTCACGACCGCTGATGATTTCATCATTTGGGGAAGAGCTTGGGTCTGATACTTTTGACATGCTCATCAACGAGCTTATGCAAAGGCTGCTGAGGTCATTGCAGGGTGCAAAGGTTTCTTGACTAAAGTCCAAAGTCATGAGTCATGACTGTATGAGTTTGGGGATGTGTTTCATGCAGGTTTCTGTTTATTTTGTGAAACGATTTGTATGCAATAAACAAATCTGATATGATGAGGTCAACTTGGTTGAAGAGTCTGATGCGATGAGGCCACTTCGAGGTTTTGTGTCTCACTTGGCGACGTGCAAATATGAGCGGGCTATTGCACTCTCCATTGAGAAGATCAACATTGCTATCAACCCCAAGGAGTTTGTCCCAACGATTGTCATGAATGCCGTGAAGCAGCTTCAGGAAAATGCAAAAGACCAGATCCATGTGGATGCTGGTCTTGCAGCGGTCTTTCTTGGCGTGACTCAAGGCAAGACCATCTTGAAACTTGCTCTTGAGTATGCAGAGGCATCTGGCGAAGAAATGCAGACCATCACTGCCATTCAGAATTCCATTGGTGATCTTGAGCGGTTCAAGAAGAAATGTGAAGATGGATCGCCATTGGAGGACTCAGAGTTTCAGAAATGCATGACTGCGAGTATCAAGCTGCTGAAAGCAGTTGGCCAGCGGGAACTGGGGCAAGCTACAAAGAACTACTTGCAAGAGGCAAAGGACACTGTCCAGGAGATGGCATTGTTCTATTGCACTGACTTTGTCAGGACCAACGCAGTTCCATGGTTTTCAACATTTTCACGGGGTCATGTTCTTCCTGACGTTCCAGCGCCGGTACCTCCAATGTATGTGAAAGAGCTTTCCCAAATGGCGTCTGACAAGGCGATGTTCATTGACACTGCTCGAGACTTTCAGCTACTTCCTCGCTGCAAACACGCATTTTGGAGTTGGATTCCATTTGCCGCAAGAAGGCCAATGGCAGTTTAGACACTGTCTCAGCACTTCGCAAAGCAGAGGAGTTCAATACCTTCATCACCCAGACTGGTGTTCCTTTGTTGCAAAAGGTTCCAATGCTACAGGAGCCTTTGCACAAGACCAAACAGATTGTCATTGCCCTGGGTGGAGAGAAAGTCAATGAGGAAGCATCCAAATCAGCTATCTCTCTTGGACGACTGGTGTCAAAGGCCAGTTCAGAAGTTGTCATCAAAAAAACTGTTGTCTAGTAAGTCTATAAGACTCATAAGACTCGAAGACTAACTTACTAACTAAAGATTAAACCATATATTGAATTATATTATCATTGTCATTATCTTAGTCTTAATATCATATGTTCTGAAGGTATTTTGAAACTCAACCTGTGCAGGCAACCAATTTTGAATGGATCACCGAAGCCGATGTGGGCCAGGCCGATGAGCTTTGTGCCAAACTACGAACGCTGTCTGTGAACCATGCAGATCCAAAGGCTATCCTCTGCATGTGTTGTGCACAGTGGCTACTTATTGCATGTAGCTTTGGATGGTTAATCAAAAGCATATTGTTTTGTGGTTCAGAGTTTTTGATCTTTGTCTGACGCACCATGTCATTGAATAACCCTAGAGTGTCTGAGGTAAGTCGCACGACAAAGCGATGGCTGATAAAGACAACCGTGATGCAACCCGTGCTTTGCTGAAACCTTACAACGTCATGGTCAAACTACTTGAGAAAGATATCATGAGTCAAGCGGGTATGACGTTTGACGGTCTTGCAGTGTCCATGTACGACTCCTTTTCAGCGGATGGCAGTGAGTTCAACCAATCCTTTTCATCTTTGGAAAGCTTTCAGAGCCTGATGGACAAGATCAAGTCATCAGCATGCTCAATTGCCCAGGGGAGGAAAGAGTACTATGATGGAGATGCCTCCAAGCTTGTGACTTCATTGACCAATGTCATGAAGGAAGTTCCGACGTTCAACATGGAGAACTTGCCAGACTTTGTCGCTAAAATGAAGGCTGTGGAATCAAAGCTTCTCAAGAATTTCGAGCAATGTGCTGGCTTGATCATGTCAATTGAGAAGGACACTGATGCATTCAGTTGTGCTGCCGATGGTCTTTGTGACTATGTGAAGGACATGTGACATGCGCCATGTGTGTAATTCAAGAGTGGCACACAACTATAACTATTATTTGAATATTTGTATTTTTTTATTACTGTATATAATACTATATTATACTATTATATAACACACTCACATATATAACATATAATACTTAACTATCTCTTGTCTAGTATTTGTATCAGTAGCAATGCGGCAACAAATGTCTACTAGCTTTCATCTCATGAAACAGAGGAGATGAAGGCTTTGCATCGTCAAAGCATGGAAGCAGTTGTGGAACAATCCGCTGCGATGCTTCTCACTGCGCCAGCTGTAGCCAAGTGGGTCAACGCAGGCCACCTTTTTTATTTTTTTTATTTTTTATTTTTTGAGGGAGGGGGCTTCTCCTAAACCAGATATGATATGTATTATTTCCTAACCTAAGCCAAACCTAAATGGTGAACCTTCGTGCTTTTTTTGCAGGCGCGAAAGCTACCGGAAGCTACGCCAAAGCCATTCGTGAATTGACACAGAAGTGCCAGGATCATTCATTGGAGGTCAATCCACAACTGCAGGCAGCCTTGACAAACCTCATCTGAGCTTGCGCCAGGCAATGCTAGAGCATTGTCAGTTCATACAATCCAGCGCAACAATTTTTCGGGCGATCATCATTTTGCAGGTGTCAAGAAAGAAATAATATAAGTACTGTTGGTATTCTTGTCTTTATGGTTTGATAGGAGAGCGCTCGTCTTTGTTGGTTACCTGAACTCATGTCTCAGAAGTTTGATTGGAGTGATTGCCCTCACACATGATGCACGCAAGAGAGATAGCGAGAGATGAAGACTAGATTCAAGATGAAACAGAAAAAATAGAGCAGTAAAACGGAGCAAATATGTTTATATTATATTCGCTTTGGTTTGATGCATTGGAATGTGCTGTGTCACTTGTTTTTTTGTTGCTGTTTGTCTTTTGAACATGCGTTCAATGTAATTTCTACTATGCATGGTTCAAGGGCAAACCAACAAGAAGAGAGATAGAGAAGCATCAATCATCAGGCAGCACGAGCTGCATCGCACAACTCAAGGCTTGCTTATGCCCCCCAAACGGGGAACCCCAAAACCCAAGCCAAAACCAAAGGCAAAGGTGCCAGCTACACCGAAGCCAAAGCCGAAACCCAAAGCAACAGCAGCCAAATCTGAACCCAAGAGACGACGCATAGAGCATGAGAATCCTTTTGCACAACCACCGCCTCCAAATCAAGGTTTGGTTACAAGCTTCCTGAAGCCAAAGGATCCTGATGCATCCACAGCATGCGGCAGCCATTTAGGTCGACTTTCTGCAGGAGCGGACCTTGAGCCAGAAGCAACCACAACAGCCATGTCAACCACGGCTGAGGAATCAGCAATTGATGCTGCCCTGGAATCAGCAATTGATGCTGCCCTGGATGGTATGGAGTTGGACGCGGAGGAAGACGCAGATCAAGTCGATTTGAGTGGTGTGTCAGCAGCCAACCAGGAGCAACCACCGGCAGCAACCAGTGAAGTCAACCCAGAAGCGTCACCAACTGTTGTTGAAACCAGCCTGCCCAATGCAGACACATTGGGACCTATGGATGCAATACCCATAGGTGAATCACAACATGAGCCAGAGCCACATGCCAATGCAGAGGCCAATCCAGGAGACGCATCAGCTGTTGCAACACATGAGACACATGAGTCGCACTCATTGACACCAGCTTTTGTTGAAGCCAGTGCAGAATCATCACTTGTAGCAGCAACACAAGAACAACAACCTGATGGAAGCAGGCCTTTGGCTTCAGCAGCGGCACCGTCACCACCAAGTACGTCTGTTGAAGAGAGTACCATTGTTGTCACTGACACCTTGCAAGCAGCTGTGCCCTCCCAACCCACATCTACACATGACACTACTGAGCAAAAGCAACCAGATACTCTAGCAACACACAAACAAGAGGGACATCAGCAAACACATGACAATGCTGACAATGACAATCTACCATTTGGTGGACAAGCTCAAGCTCAAGCACCGACAGCATCAGCCACAGCCAATGGTCAAAGCATGGCAACCCCATTGGGGCAAGATGAAGCACCCTTAGCACCCGAATCGCTGGCACCACCCCTCGCAGACCACACGAACATTGAGAAAACACAGACTGAACCGAACTTAGCATTGGAAGTGTTATCATTAAACCATATGTCGGCAGACTCTGCGTCCAATGCTGATGGTATGCTCAGTGATGATGCTGCACAGGAGCTGGATATAATGACTTACAACTAATTTGTGTTGATTGCACTGCTCATGTAGTTGCAACTGTGTAAGTGTATGTCTTTTAGGTATCAATGTGCATGCTTCCTTCACACCAAACAGTTCAACTGGCTAGGATGAACACGCAGAAGATGCAGAGTATGAATGGTACACAGACTTGGAGGACATGGAGCAGTTCTTGGACTTGTGCGCAAAGGCTGACAGACAAGAGGTGAACCTATATATAACTTACTAAACTAGAAAGACTTTAACACTAGCAACATCTTCATTGTATTGTTTTTTCACAGAACACATCACACCATGGACCATGTCTGAACCGGATGCAGGTTCAGTTGAGCCGAGCAGTTCAAGTCAAAGGTACCGCAGATAGGCTCAGGAATCTACCTCGCAATTGGACATTGGCTTCCACCTGCACTGGCAGCGGGAGCTTTGAGCTTGCTGCTGACTGTGTTTGCACTGCTTTGAACTATCACATGGACGATGATACTTTGTTCAAGGCGCTTAAACACCAAGCTGTTCTATGCTCTCTGTTTGGGTGCACAAACACTTAAACATAAACACTTGTATTCACACATTATTATTACCAATTGTGGCTGTAGCTAGCATTTGGTTTTACAGAAGGTCGACTTCCTATTCGCCTGTGAGATTGAGAAGTTCAAGCAGCGGATGTTGGTTGATCACGTCCTCGACAGGGATACCTGCTTGTTTGAAGACTTGACCAAAATGACAAGCCAAACTGAGCGCAAATGCGTTCGCCACCAGAGAGCTTGTGTTTCTTGGCTGTGGCTTTGATATGTTGATCAATCTACATTGAACCAAATGAACTAGTGTCTCAACCAACTGTTAACTGTGTTTATTTCAATACTTTCATCGCTCTGCTACAGGATCTGCCTCAAGACCTGTTTGGTTTCGTGTCGGGCTTCAGTTGCAAATCTTTGTCCAAACTCCAGAATGATGCATCGCTGAAAAAAGCCATGTCAAACAAGAACCAGGACTGTTTTGGCAATGCAGCAACACACGCATCTGAATGTTATTTGTTTATTTTATATTTATGTATTTTTTCTTATATTTACCATTTAGTTGGTTGATCTTGGTTCACTCTTCACTATTTTTACGCCCTACATTCTTTACATGTTTGAGCTTGTCAATTGTTGAAGTCAAGGTAGTGCTTTATAGTCCATAGTTTTCGATGCTGACGCAGGACTCAACTTCCTATCGTACATTCAAGGGCAACCTGGATGTTCTCAACTATTCCAGGCCAATGTGGGTGGCATTGGAGAATGTTGACGTGGGAGATTGCAGTGATGATGACAGCAACGGCGCAGTCATCTCCAAGCTTTTAAAGGAGACTGGATATCATACACGTGTCTCGAAATATTTTAGCATGTTTGAGCGACCGCATGAAAGCACTATGTGCACTCTGTTTGTTGTATTTGTCTAGGTCTAGGTCCAAGTTCATGGATATTAGACATTGTTTTTACGCTGAGGCATGGTACTGTTGGAGGCATGTCAGTTCGGGCTGCCACAGCGTCGAGTGCGCCTCTTTATTTTGGGTGTCCACATTGAACGAGCTCAAGCAGAGTTGATGTCTTCTCCAGAGAACATTCTCAACGAATTGGTGACCATCTACCTACCTGCCATGAAGTTGTCATGTCCATCAGTGGCGCTTTGGTGGCAATGGAACGTGAACAAGACTAGACTATAAAACTAACTATAACTAATAAAAACAGAACGACCGACGACAGCTTTACAACTTTGCAGCAGTTTTGATAGCAGTTGAACATAGCAGTTGGGCTAAGCATGGTTTACAACAGATTTTCCGCTGGTTCCACTGACTTTTCAGGACTTCTTCCTTCGACCACATGATGATGATGACATCGTAGATGAACTGCACCGCCGACAAGACAAGCTGCTTAAGAAAGCAGAACAGAGTAAGGACAATGATCAAGAGCAGCCAAACCCAGATGCTAAAGGGGAAAAGTGGAAAGAACTACACATGAACCTGGCTGCTTCCAGCCACTAGTCTTCTGATTGCTTTCATTTGACCAATATTAATTTCACGACTGTTGGATTCTGTTTGACTTGTTGTTCAGTATCTTTTATTTTTTCTTGTTTCCAAGGAAATTTGAGCTGGCCAATCAAGATCCCAAAAGATCTGCGTGACAACAGCTGGTTCAAGACCATCCCCACTCGTGAGCAGGAGGTCAGCTGGCCAACGTTCTTCAGTGTAAGAGTAAGACTGTTAGTTGCTGTGAACAGTTTGCAATGTTCCAGCTGTTGCAGTCAATGTCAATGACAATCAGTTAATGAACGGACTGAACTTCCTGACAGATCGTTGGTCTGGTGATGGCCCGCGATGAGCATGTCAAGTTTGCTGATCTGTACCACAGTGCCAATCGAACTCCGTTCAGCTCAGATGATGCACCTTGGGTCATACTTTGTTCAGTTTGCATTGCATTTCAAGCAACAGAACTTATTGAAGACCATGGACAGTCAATCATCAAGCCAATATCGTAACAGTGGCCCTTGGCCATGATGTGTGTTTAGATTATATAGAGTCTAGAGTAAAGCCTTTAACTTTAACTTAAGTGTCGAACTCTTTCCTTGACTCAGATTCATTGCTGTTTGCCACTTCAGGTAGTGCCAACAGTGCTTCCTTCCGGAACTGTTTGGGACTATTCAAGGGGCCGTCTCCATCTTGGTCTGGAGCAAATGGCTTTACAAGGGATCATTTTGCCAGACACGGCTCTGAAGTCTCTCACAAACAACCAATGCCAAGACTTGGCAGGAAACGCGTCTGAGACTTTGTTTCTGCTGTTTGGGATGTGATTCGATGTGCATTAGGAGCCACCTTCAGACTGTCAGACTGTTGATCCGTTGTTCGCTACTACCATACTTGTGGCCACATGCTCAGGTTCCCTGCCACCATCATCAGCGCATTGGCGATTGGATTTCTATGTTGTTTGCAATTCCCAACGGAACAGGACGATCAAGACATTGGCGAAATTGAGGCCTTGTTGAACAGGTGCCTTGTTTGAACATGTCCACCTTGCTACTACTTCAGTTTCTTGCGAATTATATTATATGATTTTATAATATCAATGCAATAATGTAACAATGTATATTCACAAAACATAGTGATGATTTTGCATATATCTCATCTCATATGAAAATGATGTCGAAGCATTGTTTTTTCGTTTGCTGGATCAGTTGCCAGTGGTGATAGTTGTTTGCCCAAGGATTTTCTGATCTATTGGGTGCTGTACAGATTCTTGAGTGGGATGCAAACAGATTGCTGTGCAACAGCCAATCGCGAAGTCAAAAGAACTGAAGTCTTCGGCGCTGCAAGAATGAATCAAGTGTCATTAGTCAATCGCAGTCACAAAAAATGATAATATAACATAAATATATTGTGTTGCTGTAAGTTGTTTTGCTTACAGCGTATGTAGTCTTGGTCCTGGCGGACCACTGTGCCTGTAGTATACACTCACTGTACCAGAATCTGTCCCCAATGTACCCATCCATACACTGATCGTACCAGGACGTCGTACCTGGTGTACGTACCCTTGTCTCGTACCTGGATCTGTGGTGTCACTCTCACACCTACTTTGAATTTAGCTAAGATATATATAGAGTTTTTATCCCCCTGGGAATAACCCCTATAGAATGAGGAGGTCGAGCTCCAAAATGAGTAGATTTTCTATAGAATCAAAAGTCAACCTACCTGAAAAAGATCCACTCTGAGGATATTTGAGGTGAGAGAATCATATATTGATGGATCACTAGGTTGACCACCCTCATTTTATAGAGAGTATATTACAATTGAGGGCATTTTATAGAGGACAGAGGTTTTGATACTATAGAGAGAACCTGGAGCAGTAGAAGGTTGAGAGTTTACTTTAGAGTGGATGGATGTTTTACAGTGAGGTAGGTTGGATTCTGATACAACCTTTTTACAATGAAAAAACAACCTTTTTTGGAGCCAGAGCTGGTCAAGCACCTTTCTGGTGGGGAAAGCCCCTGAGGAACATTCTAGAAACCACTGCCACTTGGAGATGTTTTTCCTTGGACTTAAAGGAAACTGTTCAATGTGGCTTCTTGTGGTGGCCACTTGTGTCAGGCCCACA